GATTTAATGATTTGCTTCTAACTAAAAGAATGTGACTTCTACGAATAGGTAGGTTATAAAGGGCACCACACCTCACCTATCCTTTTTTTTTTTAATATATATATATTTTTTCTAAATATATTTTATTGATTTTTTACAGAGAGGAAGGGAGAGAGATAGAGAGCTAGAAACATCAGTGAGAGAGAAACATCGACTAGCTGCCTCTTGCATGCCCCCTACCGGGGATATGCCCGCAACCAAGGTACATGCCCTTGACCGGAATCGAACCCGGGACCCTTCAGTCCGCAGACCGACGCTCTACCACTGAGCCAAACCGGTTTTGGCTTAATATATATTTAATTGATTTTTTTACAGAGAGGAAAGGAGAGGGTTAGAGTTAGAAACATCAATGAACGAGAAACATCTATCAGCTACCTCCTGCACACTCCCTACTGTGCCAACAACCAAAGTATGCGTTCCTGACCAGAATCGAACCTGGGACCCTTGAGTCTGCAGGCTGATGCTCTATCCACTGAGCCAAACCGGCTAGGGTAGTAGTCGGCAAAATCATTAGTCAACAGAGCCAAATCACGACAGTATAACGATTGAAATTTCTTTTGAGAGCCAAATTTTTTAAACTTAAACTTCTTCTAATGCCACTTCTTCAAAATAGATTCGCCCAAGCTGTGGTATTTTGTGGAAGAGCCACACTCAGGGGGCCAAAGAGTCACATGTGGCTCCCGAGCCTCAGTCTGCTGACCACTGGGCTAGGGCAATCCCTTTTCTCAAGTCACTTGCTCTGGGAGACACAGCTGCCATGCTACAAAGAAACTCAAGCAGCTGGCCAAGCCAGCATGGCTCAGTGGTTGAGCATCTATGACCGGGAGTTCACGTTTCGAATCCAGGTCAGTGCACATGCCCGGGTGGAGGGCTGGATCCCCCCAGTATGAGGCTTGCAGGAGGTAGCCAATCCATGATTCTCTCTCATCATTGATATTCCTATCTCTCCCTCTCCCTTCCTCTCTGAAATCAATAAAAAATATATATTTTTTTAATAGAAACAAACTCAAGCAGCTGGATGGAGACATCCACACAGGATAAAGAACTGAGTCCTTCGGACAACAGCCAGCATCAACCTGCCAACCAATGAGAACACCACCTGGAAGGAGATCCTCCAGCCCGTCAAGCCTTCCATTGGCTGCAGCCTTGGTCAATGTCTTAAGATTTTATGCAAGACCTGGAGGGAACCAGAACCACTCTGGTAACTCCCAAGTTTCTTACCTACAGAAACAATGTAGAAAAAATATTATTCTTTAAAAACTCACTCAGCCGAAACCGGTTTGGCTCAGGGGTGTCGAACTCAATCAGAGAAGGGGCCAAAATCTAAAATCCAGCCTAAATCGCGGGCCGAATGGTTTACTGAACAGTCATAAACTGTCATTGTGATGGAAACGCAGCGGAGTGCAGTGATGACAGCGCGGTGCGGGCCACATTGCAAGGCCTGGCGGGACGGATTTGGCCCGTGTTTGACACATGTGTTTGTGTTTGACACATGTTCTTTAGATAGGTTCTCTGGCCACAGAAGAGACTATGGGGACAAGAGAATGGAACTAAAGGCAAAAAGGTGAGTTAACAGGCTATTTCCTTGGCCAAGGACCAAGCTAGAATAATAAATGAAACTGGAAATGAGGAGGCAGGGTCACAATAAGTATTGCAGGTCAGCCAATTAAAATCAAGAAGAGCCAGGACGGGTTTGGCTCAGTGGATAGAGCATCGGCCTGCGGACTGAAAGGTACCGGGTTCGATTCCGGGCAAGGGCATGTACCTTGGATGCGGGCATATCCCCAGTGGGGGTGTGCAGGAGGCAGCTGATCGATGATTCTCTCTCATCGATGTTTCTAACTCTCTATCCCTCTCTCTTCCTCTCTGTGAAAAATCAATAAAATATATTTTAAAAAATAATAATAATAATAAATAAGACAAAATAAAATCAAGAAGAGCCCTAATCAGTTTGTCTCAGTGGATAAAGAAAGCATCAGCTTTCGGACCAAAAGGTCCTGAGTTCGGCTCCAGTCAAGGGCACATGCCTGGGTTGCAGGCTCGATCCCCACCCACTAGGGGGCAGCTGATCAATAATTCTCTCATCATTGATGCTTCTCTCTCCCTCTCCCTTCCTCTCTGAAATCAGTAAAAATATTTTTTAAAAATAAATGCAACAAAGTAAAAATATTTTAAAAAGTAATAAAAGGTAATTTCAGAGACTATGATACTGATTTGACATATAAAATGTATTAAGCAAAATCTTAAAATATAGAAAAAAACTTTCCATCTATATTACAGCTCATAATTAACAAAATCAGTTTTATTGAAAACAAAGGCCAAAAAAGGTTACGTGAATATACAAGGTCACATGGGCCCTTTTCTAGATATTCCAAATCCTAAACCAAAAACCTTTCTGACTCCCAAACATTCCTCACTTTCTATATCACTGCCTTTACCTGATCTAAATTGTCACCTAAACATTTTCATCAAAAATTAAACAGAAAAAAAATTAAACAGAAAAGGTGGTTGTGTCCAGTACAATTAGATAATTTGCTCGGGGTTTAGGTTCTATTCTCACTTGCCAATTTTACTTTCAGATTAGAGACTTCATCTCTATCCACTTCCATAACTCTCTAAATTTTATTTCCTTCTTTGTTCATTTCTGTTCTTTCCTTATTATTTCCCATTACTCTTATTTTCCTACTAGTCCTCCCTTTCTCAATTCTAAAGTGTCAACAGCTATCGCCATGTTGTAATCTCAATTCAAACCCAGAGAAAAAGGCAAACAAAGTTAACATGCATTTAGCTCCATACCTGGGCAAAAAGGCAAGGGTGCATGAGATCTCAAAATAACCTGACACCACATTTTAATACTTTGCTAACCCAAGTTATACTAAACAGCAAAACCAACAATAGTTTCTCTGATATCTTTTAGCTTGTCTCCAAATAGCAATCAAAATTAACTACAAAGCAGCAGCATATGAAAAGAAAAACAGCCGGGACTGGTTTGGCTCAATGGATAGAGCGTCGGCCTGGGGACTGAAGGGTCCCAGGTTCGATTCCAGTCAAGGGCATGTACCTTGGTTGCGGGCACATCCCCAGTAGGGGGTGTGCAAGAGGCAGCCGATCAATGACTCTCTCATCGATGTTTCTAACCTTCTATCTCTCTCCCTTCCTCTCTGTATAAAATCAACAAAATATATATATTTTTAAAAAAATCAGGATAACGTGCAAATACAATTGAGCTAAGTGTTAAGTATGGTACAATTACTAGCATAAGGATGGGGCTTGGAGATTTGTTCAAGATGTCAATCTATCCTTGGACCTAACCAAGTTAAGTTTGCCCCCATCTCAGTCTCTCTAAATCTTAGTTTTCTCACCTATGCCACTGTAACAGTACTCTTCTCATATGATTATGATAAGAATTAAGATACACCATGTAGCCCTAACCAGTTTTGCTCAGTGGCTAGAGCATCGGCCTGCGGACTCAAGGGTCCCAGGTTCTAACTATCAATTCCTCTCCCTTCCTCTAATTTTATAGAGTATTATAGTATTAGTAGTTATTTTATTGAATTTATTAAAAATTCAATAAAATATATTTTTTTAAAAGATATACCACGTAAAGTACATCGCAAAACATGATACAATCTATAGATGTTAGCCACTTTGATTGTGATTTTTAGACCTATAGTTTAGGCACAAGAGGAAAAAATGGGAGACAAGATAGGAGAAAAAGAGGTACTTATGAAGGGAGATAAGCATGAGCCCAGTCACTGTTCCAATAACTACTAATATTATCAATATAATACTATATATTTCAATGCCAAGAAAATACGTATCAAAACAATCAAGTAAGGCCGGGCTGAGCTTGGAACTGTGAACCAGGAGGTCACAGTTCCATTCCTGGTCGTCAGGGCACAAGGGGGCGTGCAGAAGGCAGCTAATCAATGATTCTCTCTCATTGATGTTTCTCTCTCCCTCTCCCTTTCTGAAATCAATGAACAACAAATCCGATGTTTATCTGTCTCTCTCTCCCTAAAAAAAACAATCCATTTTTTAATATATTTTATTGATTTTTTACAGAGAGGAAGGAAGAAGGATAGTTAGAAACATCGATGAGAAACATCGATCCGCTGCCTCCTGCACACCCCCTCCTGGGGATGTGCCAACAACCAAGGTACATGCCCTTGACCAGAATCCATCCTGAGACCCTTGAGTCCGCAGGCCATCGCTCTATCCACTGAACCAAACCGGTTAGGGCCAATCAATTTTTAAAACTGAAAGGTAATTCACTCACAAAAAATTCTAGTATGGTAATTAATATTCAGTTTTTAAAATATATTTTTATTGATTTCAGAGAAGGGGGAGAGAAATAAAAAACTAAATTTCTATGACAGATTTTGCCGAGACCGGCTTGGGGACTGAAGGGTCCTGGGCTCGATTCCGGTCAAGGGCATGTACCTTGGTTGCGGGCATATCCCCAGTAGGGGGTGTGCAAGAGACAGCTGATCGATGACTCTCTCTCATCGATGTTTCTTTCTAACGCTCTATCTTTCTCCTTTCCTCTCTGTACAAAATCAATAAAATACATTAAAAAAATTTTCTATGATATTTTTAAATGATATAACTTATGCTTTAAAACAAGCTACTTCATGAAATATAATATTAAAAAATAAGCCATATAAGGTTTTAAACATGAATAATTTTGGGGGTTTTTTCTACCAATCTAGAAATCCATAAATCCTAAGGTGAATAATAACCATATGTACCTTACTTTAGGAGCACAAAAAAAATTAAAATTTGAACTGTTTGATCTGAAATAGTCTTAAACTTTAACTCTTTCTGCATTTAAAATTAATACGTAGTTGTTTTCAGATTGTCCAGAGCAATATTATTGGGAGAAACTGAAAGGTTCCAAGAATAACAAAGGATAAATTAACCCTTATTACATTTTACAAATGTCCATTTGACATGCTCACCATATATCGATAGTACTTACAAATTCCAACAGGACTGCACAAGAAGGTGCTGGGCTTTTCTCTGTTATCTTTGTGTTTTCCAGTTTGTTTTTTTATTTTGTATCCTCTGAAATAGAATCCAAGTTCTTTGAAGATACTTAACCTATGACTATTTGACATAGAGTTACTTCAAGTCAGCTACCCATACTTCAGTTTTAAAGTTTTCATATGGCTATCTCCAAATTAGCCAAGTTCCTTGGATGTAAGATTATCAAGTCTTCTTTATTATTCCATGTACTTGTCAGTGTTGTACTTATCCACTCGAGATGAAATATCCAACTTATGGCCCAAAAAGCAAAAACAAAAAGAAAATTTCACATCTGAAGAGCATTCCTGAGCAGCATACAGAGACGCAGCTATCTCAACACTGCCGTGCCGCTGGGAAACCGCAACATCTTAAATTTCCACGTAAATAAAAGATAAAAGGAAAAAAACTGGTCTCTCTCAGTGTCTTCATTCAGAGAAGCCGGCCCATTGTGACATGAACAGGGCTGAGGTCAGAAATTCCTGAAAGTTTTAACGGGGGTTAGAGTAAACGGCCATGGGACCTCGGCTGCTAGTTGAACAGTAATTGGAAACTTCCGAAACTACCCAACGCGAAAATCAAGCATCGCTGACAGTTTCGGCTGAAAACACCACAGGGGCGGGGAAGGCCCCCCCCCTAAAAAGAAAAAAAACACAAAACACAAAAACAACAAAGCAGCAGCTGAAACCGGTTATATAATCCGTTTGAACCGAAAGACTGACGAAGGCTGGGTTTCTGTTTAAGCGGCTCGCGGGGCCGTTCGCTATCAATTCGCCTCAGCGAAGGCTCTCGCCGATTTCAGACAACTTCTGGGGCAAAAGCATCCGAAAGCACTGTAATTCCAAAATGGCCCCTTGCGCTCTCCGGGGCCTGGAACACAAGCCCTGGCAGAGGATCCTCACACCTGAGTAACTCCGGTCACCTGTAAAAGTTGTGGGGGAAAACACAAACAAACTTGCGTTACACCGGGGTTGGAAGCGGGGCTGGAACCCACCGGGAGCGGGGCCCGAGGAGCGGCCCCTCCGCGGGGGCCGGGCTGGCGGGGCCGGGCCGCGGCCAGGGGGCAGGGGCTCCCGGTGGGGCGGGCGCGGGGGCAGGCGGCGCTGCGGGAAGGGACGCGGGGCCGCGGTTACGTTAGGAAGCCCTCGCCTCCGGCCGCGGGCCCGCCCCAGGCACCGGGAGGCGGCGGCGGACAGGTGCGGGGCCAGCGCCGTCCCCGCCGCTCGGACAGCCCGCCCCGCGGAGCCGCAGGCCGAGGGCAGAGAGGGGGGCCGGGCGCCCCCTCCCCGAGCCGGCGGCCTCCGGGGCAGAGCGCGCCCCGGTGCCGGGACGCAGGAAACAGCTCCTTCCGGCTCGCCCGCCCGCCGCCCGCCACGCAGGGCCGCTCAGACCGGGCGGGAGCGGCAGCGGCCGAGGCCCCGGCCCGCCCCGAGCGCCCGGCGCGGCCCCGCCGGCCCGCCGCCCGGCCCACGCAGCCGCCAAGGCCCCGCGCCGGCCCGCGCTCCCCCCGCGCTCCCGCGCCCCGTCCGCGAGCACCTCGCACCGCGCGCCGCCAACGCCGCCCCGACCCCGGCCCGACGCCCACTCGCCGCCCGCCGGCGCCGGCGCGGGCCCCGGCCCCCGTTACCTTCTGCCCCGCAGGTGCCCGGCCTGGGGTGCGGGCGCTGGGTCCGGGACAAGGCGCTCGGTACTTTGAATAATCCCCTTTTGCCGCTTTTCCCTCCCCCACAACCAGCCTCCGTCCCAAAATGGCGCCGACCCGGTCCGCAAGATTCTGGGGCAAGTCTCGCGAGATAAGGGACGGCGGCGGCGAGGCCGGGACGGAACTGGAGGGCCGAGGGGAAGGGAAGGGAGGCGGGGCGCGGACCGGCGGGAGCGAGGCCGGCTGTGGAGACGGCGCCGCGAGCGCTGGAGCCGACTGGGCGGGGCCGCACGGGGAGCTCCTCCACCTCGGAACCTTCCGGCCGCGCAGCCGCACAGCCCCGCCGAGACGCCCCGCCCTCTACGCCGGCGGCGGGGGCGGAGCGGGCGCGGCTACGCCGGGGGCGTGGCTACGCCGGGCGGGGCCGCGAGGAGCCCCCGGGGCGGGCGGGGGCGGGGCTCCGCGGTGACGTCGGCACAGCTGGAGCGGGGATCACCCCCTGCCGCTGACGTGCGCGCCGGAACAATCGGGAAGGTTCGGGGAAGGGGATTCCCCGCCCTCCCGCCTCTCCGCGGGCCCTGCCCCGCCCGGGGCGGCCCCGGGCCTCCTCGGCGGGGGCCCCGAGGACGCGGGCGGGACATCGGCCGCGCAGCCCACAGCCCGGCAGCCGCGCGCCTCCGCCGGGTCCGGCGCTGGGACGGGCGGACGCGGGGCTCCGGGCGGGGAAGCCGGCCGGCCGGCGTTCGGCGCGATGCCGGAGCCGGTGCGGGAGCCGGCGCTGCCGCCGCAGGACGCTCCTGGGCTCGGGGCGCGGACTCCAAGGATCAGGGGCCCCGGGCGATGGCCGTGGGTGCGGGTGCCCACGGGTGTGGGTGCCCGTGGGTGCGGGTGCCGAACCCACAGCCTCTGCCCCGCGCCGCCCACGCGGTTTTAAAACAATGTCCGGTTGTCGCTTCGTTTTAAGGAAAAGCCTTCAGACACTGAGAAGTCAGCCTTGTTGGTTGTGGGCGAGCCGCTAGTGCCCTGGGGGAGGGGAAGGGAAAGCCCAGAAATCAATCTAACGTGTGTATAATAATAAAGGGCCATATGCTAAGTAGACCACACAGCCCCACGTCCTTCCGGACAAGCCATGGTGGCTGCCAGGGCCCAGGGCAGGCAGCAGCAGTGGGGTGAAGGGGCAGCGCCCTCCCCTAATAGGCCCGGTGCCTCCCGCAGACAGAAGCCAGGCTGCGGCTTAGGCCTGATCCACCCTGGTAAGGGGCCTAGACCTTCAGTAGGACATCCCCTGAGGGCTCCTGGACTGTAAGAGGGGGCAGGCCAGCTGAGAGCCCCCCCACACACACACAAATTTTCATGCACTGGGCCTCTAGTATAGAGATAATATATATAAACTTAAAAAAAATGTATCTAGCAGCCATTTCTGCACTGGGGCCTCTCATGCAAACTGCAGGGGATAAGCGTAGACCAGTGGTTGGCAAAACACAGCTCTTTGGCCCCTTGAGTGTGGCTCTTCCACAAAATACACAGCCTGGGAGAGTCTATGTTGAAGAAGTGGCATTAGAAGAAGTTTAAGTTTAAAAAATTTGCTCTCAAAAGAAATTTCAGTTGTTGTACTGTTGCTATGGCTCTGTTGACTAATGAGTTTGCTGACCACTGGTCTAGACCAGACTGCCTGACTACAGGGTGCTCCTGCCATCTGAGCCAGCTCTTAGGAAGGCATTCCTAGAATTCTGCTTCTCCCAATAGGACTGCAGCCTGCCCCAACGAATGGAAACGTCGAAGATCCAACCAATCACATGGCTGTATTCTGGCCAATCAGGACAGTGCCTTTTGGGTCAGTCATGAGGATAGACCAATCAAGGATCAGGAGTGGGAACTTGTGTCTGATAAGTGGGCTTTCTGATGGTTGTGAGCTCACACTTTGCCTTTCCTCTACCCTTATCCTGGGAACAGGTTCCTTATCACTGTCCCTACACTTACCACCCTAGATTGAAATTGACAGCTTTCTTATCTGTCTCTTATTGGACTGAAAAGTCCTTGAATACAGCTAGGAGGTGGTCCTCATGTCTATTCATAGCAACTACTACACTTTCAGGCAGCCTAAATTCTCCAGTATTTATTTATTTATTTTAATACATTTTATTGATTTTTTACAGAGAGGAAGGGAGAGGGATAGAAAGTTAGAAACATCGATGAGAGAGAATCATAGATCAGCTGCCTTCTGCACACCCCCTACTGGGGATGTGCCTGCAACCAAGGCACATGCCCTTGACCGGAATCGAACCTGGGTCCCTTCAGTCCGCAAGCTGACACTCTATCCACTGAGCCAAACCGGTTTCGGCTATTTATTATTATTATTTTGTCAATCCTCATGGAGAATATTTTTCCTGATTTTTTTTTTTGGAGAGAGCAGAAGGGAGGAGGAAAGACAGAGAAACATCAATGTGAGACAGACACATCAATTGGTTGCCTCCCCCATGGGTCCTGACCAGGGCTATGGAGCCCACAAGGGAGGTACTTGCCCTTGACTGGACTTGAACCTGGGACCTTCAGGCCACAGAGCAATGCTCTATCCACTAGGCCAAACTGCCCAGGGCTCTCCAGTATTTATTAAACACATGACCCTCCCACGTTGAGTCTTGCTTCAGCTATTCATTACATGTAGTTCTCAGAATTTCCCTTGTTGAACATTCTGCACCATTATTATTCCCTTTCATTATAAATTGCCTTTCCCCTACCCACTCTCTACTTTGAGAATTCTTATTCTTATCCCTAGAGACCCTGTTCAAAGAACACTCATGTGGACAACCATCCCATAAAACTCAGAATTTAGCCCTAGCCGACTTGGCCTAGTGGATAGAGCATCAGCCTTCGGACTGAAGAGTCTCAGGTTGGATTCCGACCAAGGGCACATGCCTGGGCTGCAGGCTCAGTCCCCTGTGTGGGGCATGCAGGACGCAGCCGATAAATGAATGACTCTCTCTCATCATTGGAGTTTCTACCTCTCCTCCCTTCCTCTCTGAAATCAATAAAGAAATATATTTTTTTTTTTAAAGAAACAACCTCAGAACTTACTCCTCTGGACTCTCACTAGGGTCTGCACTCACTTTTATCTCTATTTGTTCTTCCTGTCCCCCTTTCTATATACTGTATATATGTATTTTTTAATTAATTTCAGAGAGGAAGGGAGAGGGAGCTTAAGTTAGAAACATCAATGATGAGAGAGAATCATTGATCAGCTGCCTCCTGCACGCCCCCTACTGGGGATCAAGCCTGCAACCTGGGCACGTGCCCTTGACTGAAATCAAACCCCGGACCCTTCAGTCCGCAGGCCGATGCTCTATCCACGGAGTCACACCAGCCAGGGCTGTTCCAATTCCTGGACGGTGAGATCCTACCCAAAGCTCAGCCTCTAAAGGCCGGTGGGCGGCTAAAGCATCCGGAAACCTCCAGGCTCCATTCCCCAGGCACCAGCCCCGCCCGGCCCCACGGCCTCTGGGGCCCCTGCCGGGGGCACAAGTTCTTTCCTACTCTTTGTTCACCGGACTGTGGCCCTGCTTTTGCCCTCCCGGGTCACAGAGGACCTGATGCTCTGATTTCCTACTTCAGGAGAAAAGCAGAAATGACACAGCCTTTCTCCTTTCTTCAAAATGTGCATGCTGCTCCACCGGTTTGGCTCAGTGGTGGAGCGTCGGTCTGCAGACTGAGGGGTCCCGGGTTCGATTCCAGTCAGGGGCGTGTGCCTTGGTTGCAGGCGCATCCCCGGTGGGGGGCGGTGTAGGAGGCGGCTGATCAATGACTCTCTCTCATCGATGTTTCTAACTCTCTATCTCTCTCCCTTCCTCTCTGAACAAAATCAATAAATTATATTTTGAAAAATCAATAAAATATATTTTTAAAAATGTGCATGCTGCTCTTTCTTTCTGGCCAGTGTCACAACTTTGTGCTGATCTTTAATGGGTCCTCTCCTCAGTGGGTTTCACCAGGGGAGAGTCCATGCCCCCTTGTCCCCTGCTGTGTCCCCCGTGCCTACCACCATGCTGGGCACACAGGTGTCCCATAAGCACCACCTGGAACTGCAAAGGACGGGAGGGAGGGAGGCAACATAAGCATTCTGAAGAGAAACGTTTTAGGGAGAAACCTGTTCTACAAGAGAGAAAATATTTTCTTTTTCTTTTTTTTTAAATATATTTTATTGACTTTTTACAAAGAGGAAGGGAAAGGGATAGAGAGCTAGAAACATTGATGAGAGAGAAACATCCATCAGCTGCCTCCTGCACACCCCACACTGGAGATGTGCCCGCAACCAAGGTACATGCCCTTGACCGGAATCGAACCCCGGACCCTTGAGTCCGCAGGCCGACGCTCTATCCACTGAGCCACACCAGCTCGGGCAAAATATTTTCTTTCAATTAAAAAATTTGTTATGTAAAAAAAATGAAAACTGATAGTGTCATTTTAACTTTGACAAGATGTGTGTCATCTTTATTTTTTATTTTTTAAATATATTTTATTGATTTTTCACACAGAGGAAGGGAGAGGGATAGAGAGCCAGAAACATCGATGACAGAAACATTGACCAGCTGCCCCCCGCACAGCCCCACGGGAGATATGCCCATCACCAAGGCACATGGCCCTGACCGGAATCAAACCTGGGACCCCTCAGTCTGCAGGCCGACTATCCATCCACTGAGCCAAACGGTTAGGGCTAAAAACACAAGTAAAGATTTGATGGTAAGAAGGAAGGAGAAATGGCTGTCCAACACCCACCATTACTTCGGCAATGGGCAAAGGACAAGTGGACCGGTAACCACAGAGACACGGCGGAGGGTATGGAGGCCATGCTGAGACAAGGAAGAGGGACGTGCACACACAGGACGCCTGCCTCCGGCCCTGTCTCCGGCTGTGAGGTCTTTCCTGGCCCCACGGGTAACCTAGCGGACTGTGTTGGGAACGGCCTCGACGAAGGTCAGGTCCCGAGTGACCCCTAAGAGAGGTGTCCTCCATGCAGGCTGCTGGGCTCGCTCGGGAGGACGCCTGGAGGGGTGCTGTGGCTCCAGCACAGAGCCGGTGGGAACCGGTCGCTGCCTCTGGCAAACAAGGTGGACAAAAGTGGCAAGGACAGCCCTACCTGGTTTGGCTCAGTGGATAGAGCATCGCTCTGCAGACTGGAGGGTCCCAAGTTTGATTCCAACCAGGGCACATGCCCGGATTGTGGGCTCGATCCCCAGGCAGCCAATCAATGATCCTC